TACAATCAGGGGACCGCTGGGGCGCCGCATATATTTTTACGCATGTAAAGGGCTCCAGAGCCCAAAAAGTTTGAGAACTACTGCTCGATGGATAAACCCCTCACCCTAGTGGCTGAACCCAGGAGCCCCCCTCCTCTCTCTCTCTCTCTCTCTCTCCCACACACACACACACACACACACACACACACACACACACACACACACACACACACCAGCTGGCCCTCCTCTCTCTCTCTCTCTCTCTCACACACACACACACACACACACACACACACACACGTTAGCGAATGTGTCCTTTAAACACTGATTCGGCTAAGTGGGTTCCACCAACTAAGAGCCACTCCCTTTGTTCAGCCTTGAGAAACTCAAGAAGGGAGGAATTTTCTGGAAGGTTTGTCAGGTCTATGACGGCAGCAGTAACATAGAAGAGTTCTTAAAGATCAGGGGTCCTGGGAGCTAAGGCAGGTGAATTATATCCACAGCTCTGCCATTGATTAAATACAAGCAGCCTTGAGCAAGACACGCAACCTCTGTGCCTCAGTTTACCCATCTGAAAAATGGGAATACCACTACTAATCTTCATTATCTCGGGGGAAGCAGGGGGAGTTACCTCTTTCCTCAGAAGCATGAAGGATGGAGATGAGGCAGTGGATTGGGAGGGCCAAGGCTCTGCGGTGGCACTAAGCAGTCTCTTTCAGGCACCCTGGTTGGTTCTCATTCACGTGCTCAGGGTGTCACTGATTGCCATACATGGGGTCAGGAAGAAAGATTTCCCCAGTTTGATTGGCAGTGAGCTCAAGGGGTTGTTCTGCCTTCTTCTGCAGTGTGAGAGTGCGGGTCACCTGCCAGGATTTATCTGACTGTTGTTCACAGAGTCGCTTCTCTGCCTTTGCGGGGGCCTCAGCCATTGGTAAAGCTTGATATCTCCTATTCGCTGCCTGAGGAATGTAACAGAATAGTTCCTGTGGGCTGTCCCACTTGGGACTACATGATCTGATGGTCCCTTCTGGCCATAAACTCTATGAATAGGGCTCAACCAAATTCATGACCATAAAGATGCATCACAGACCATGTATCAGAGGGGTAGCCGTGTTAGTCTGGATCTGCAAAAGCAATAAGGCGTCCTGTGGCACCTTATAGACTAACAGATATATTGGAGCATAACCTTTCGTGGGCAAAGATCCACTTCGTCAGATGCATGTAGTGGAAATATCCAGAGGCAGGTATAAATATGCAGGCCAGAATAAGACTACAGATAACGAGGTAATTCAATCAGGGAGGATGAGGCCCACTTCTAGCAGCTGATCTGGAGGTGTGAATATCAAGAGAAGAGAAACTGCTTTTTTAATTAGCTAGCCATTCACAGTCTTTGTTTAATCCTAATGAAGTTAATTCAATCAGGGAAGATGAGGCCCACCTCTAGCAACTGAAGACGGTGGGTATGTCTACACTACAAAGTTAGTTCGAACTAACAGACGTTAGTTCGAACTAACTTTGATAGGCGCTACACTAGTGCTCCATTAGTTCGAATTTAATTCGAACTAGCGGAGCGCTTAGTTCGAACTAGGTAATCCTCATTACAAGAGGATTAAGCCTAGTTCGAACTAGCTAGTTCGAATTAAGGGGTGTGTAGCCCCTTAATTCGAACTAGTGGGAGGCTAGCCCTCCCCAGGTTTCCCTGGTGGCCACTCTGGCCAACACCAGGGAAACTCTATTGCCCCCCTCCTGGCCCCGGACCCCTTAAAGGGGCACAGGCTGGCTACGGTGCCCGTGCCAGGTGCAAGCCT